AAAAATCACCTATTATAAACATGCACACAATTCTGCATTGCCTGATTTATAATTCTATGGTTAAAGAACCTTGTTAGGGTAAATTGATAGCTTAATTCTAAAAAGTAATTAGGAAAAGATTTAGATGTTTTTGTTATAATTATAATTTAGATTATTTCCAATTATATAAATCAATTCCAGCAAAGAGATTTAGTTGATTAACATGTGATCAAATCCAATTACATGTAATTTATAACCTGTTCAAAATGACCATTGCCCGACAAAATATTACCCAAACAACACAACTATAATTTCCTGTTACAAATGTGCACTAATATATTCCAGAAAATAGCCTAGAATGACAGACACTAATGGTAGAAAACTTTGCAGACAATATTAATGAATTATCTATAGGACCTGAACGCCCTCAGTTGATCAAGTTGGGAGATGTTGTTAAAGGGCCAAATGCTCCTCGACGTCTGAATGCAGAGCTGGTCAATAATTGGGTATTATTTCAGCAGGAGCGAGTAATTATTTTTTTTTTAAATTCATGAGGAAAATGCACAACAAAAGCAATATGCTAAACTGGATCAGGAACGATTCTTAAAAAAAAAAAAAAACGTAGAATGAACCCAGATGAAAAACTTTATCTGTTCAAAGTTAAACCCAGATTGAGTATTTCTGTATCTCTCAACAGCAACACCAAATGCCAGTTCAAGCAAAATGAATCACCTTCCTCTCCCTTCCCCTCTCATTACTTTTTGGGGTGTGGTCTGGTTCAGCTAATATTGTATTCTCAAAACAAGAGATTTGCCAAATTTAGATTCTGCAAATGCATGCATTTATACAGTTTTCCCTAGAATTATGTATGCTGGTATGTGTTGTCTCATCTTAGTCTGTATTTTAAGTAATACCATTATTTGCTTCTAACTGTGTATCTATCCTATTGTACAGTGAAAACCATGTGTGTATCAACCGCCAAATATATGTATGTTTTAAAGCGGGGGGAGTCGTCACCTACGCATACGTCAGGTGGCCATAGCGTGTCATTGTTTACAAACAAGCGTCTACCCATGAGTCTTTGCATACTTAGCGTGTGTTATTATCATCGCTGGGGCTCAATTCCCGCGTGTGCGCAGGTGACGACTCTCCCACTTTAACGCTTAGGCATTAGAATTTATTTATGACACGGCACTTTCTGTTCTCGCGATATTTTGTTTTTGTCACATCACTACTTACTTGCATATTGATGTGTTTAGTTTCAGTCGGCATTTTGTTTAGTTTCGTCGTCAGTTGTTTTGGGCAATTGATTTTTTAGCAGATTATTATTATCCACCATCAGCATCTTTTACACCACTTTTGCTTAGTTGGTTATATGCAAATCCACCCCCCCCAAAAAAAAAAAACTCCTACCTTCAGTGTTTTTTTTTAGTTTTGTTATTTAGTTTATTAATTGTGTATTTTTATATTGTAGTGTTTCCTAGTGTCTGTTATTATTCATCACCAATGTAGTTATAATGGTGCTCACCATTTCTATTGTAGATTTGACTACCTGTATTTACAAATAATTCTCTCTAGTATTTATAACATTAAAATTACAGAAAAAAAGATTGAGAAAGGTGTGTTATATTTGGATTTCAGTTTTATTGTGATTCATTCAAATAAACTACTTTTATTCAGTCTATTTTAGATAAAAATAAATTAAATTATTTTTTGATTGTAACAAAATAGTTATGCCACGATGCAAAACACAATTAACACTGACATTTACTGCTGTTTATGTACATGTTTTAGCTTGGAAGAATTTCTTTTTGGCAGATTGTTTTTCTGAACTTTGATACAACTTCATTTTGTCAAATCTTCATAAAAATCATAATAATGACCATAACACCAATTTCAACCTTAGAGCTTTCTAGTGAATCCTAGACAAGGGCTGCCCTTATTAATTCACATCACAAGCTATAAATATGTCTGTCACTATTTTGGTTTTTTGTTTGTTTGTTTATTTGTTTGTTTGAATTGAACATTAATAATTACTCACAATACATATATATGGCTGAGTGATGTCATGTGCAAACTGTTTTGTTGTTTGCAACGGAAAAACCTAATTTGTGAACATTCTATAGTTAGATCTCGACTCACACAAAGAAATGGATTATGTGGATTTATATAATAGCAGCATGTGTTGCTACCTAAAGTAATCAAGACATGACTATGATACAAGTGAAGAACAAATAGTTAATTATTAATATAAAGCTTAAATATACATCCCAGGGACATAACCAGAAAGCACATTCAGTAGCACCCAGAAAAATCAATTTACATAACAATAACGTATGTTAATTTCCTCTATTTATATTCATCTTTATGATAATTAGGCTGTATTGATTATTCAAACGTACAAAGTAGGGGGTCCCTACTCTATAATGCTGTGAGCAAGAACCCCTGAATTAATGAATCATTGCTCTTTATAACACTACAATGAAAATAGAACGCATCACTTAGTATCCTTTGTAAATTTCCTGTATGTAATTATAGACCACACACAATGACATTTCTATTAAAAAACACTGCATGCAGTCCATGTAGTAATCTTGGGTTGATTTTTTTTAACAAATTTTTGTGCCAAGCGACATTTACCCGTAATGGAAATGAATTTTATATGATAGGATATTTTATTTGCAATATATATATAAATATATAAAACAAAGCTTATGGCAATGCTAATTACAGGTATGATTTGAACTTGGGTACAACTAGTAAGTGCAATGCCACAATCACTATGCTACCAGTAAATTACAGGTACTTTCATTAGTACATAGAGCTGGGTTTTGTTTTTTCTGACAGCTGAATGTGAATGTCCAGTAAATTGATAAAGATAACAATAGAATATATTGTTTCAGGGATCAATAAATTTAAAACTTTATCAAATTCGCTACATTTAAACACATTGAATATTTGTTCTTTTTACAATAAGTAATACACAAGTTAGCACAAATACATGATTTTGTCTGTGTTTTTTTTTTTCTGAGTCTATAGTGCGGAGGAATGGATGACTATTAATGATGGACGATGTAATAGAAGAAGAATGAAACATCACTTATGACGGGGATGCCTTTTCCGAGGGATGAACCATATTTTTTGATGAGGAAAGCCATTGCTGAGTGCATTACCCTTATTTGTTATAAAGATGACGTTGCTGAGGGATGAACATTGTTTTTGATGGAGTTAGCCATTACTGAGGGATGAACCATTACTATGATGGGGATGTCAAAACAAATCTTGCAAAAAAGACAATAATAAAAAAAAACAAGAGTTGCACAATACACCCCCCTCTTAAATTGTGTCGAAATGATGACCAGTACACATGAAACTGTTCAAATGCAGAAAACATTTACCAATGATAATGATTGTTT